CCCCGGCTGCATCCAGCTGCACATGCCACCCCACCCCCCTGCTTTGTGTCCGGCGACCAGGGGTACACTTATTGAAAAAAATTGAAAACCACTGTTGTAGCACATGGGCCATGTGTTCTGCGCTACAAGTGTCAGGGCTATCTATACCCTAGGACAAGGGTGTCAAACTCATCCCAAGTCTTGGGCTGAATCCAGACTGTGTGGGCTCCTTTCAGGCCAGATCCTGGGTCCAGTGGTGCACATTCAGACAGCAGCACAGGTTGAGGATTGTGTAGCAGTGTGGGTCCCAGGGTGGGCAGCAGAGCAGGTCAGGGAGTCAGGTGACAGAGGAAGTTGTGGAATTGAGCAGAGATGGTCAGTGGGTAAACAGCAGTGGGACAAGTGGGCTGTATCTGCACAGCCCTCACTCCTGCCCCACCCTGCCACTAATGTCAAACTTATCCTGGGCTTTGGGTCAGATCCAGACTGTGTGGGCTCCTCCAGGGTCAGAACCCAGATCCAGTGGTACAGGTCCATGATCATGTGGCAACACAGGTTGGGGAATCGTACAGCAGCATGGGAGTCCAGGACAGGGGGACACAAGTGTAAAAAGAGAGAGGTGTTGAGCAGCACAGACTGTGAGGGAAGGTAAGGGAAACAGTAGGAACAAACAGCAAATGAGGACAGGGAAGGGAAAGCCCAGTCAAAACTGTAGGAGGTTCTTCGAATACCTGAAGGTCTTGAGCTTTGACTACAAACTCAGTGCCTCCCCTCTAAGAACACACAGCAGGGTGGTAGTAGATGTACCTCATTGGTTCTGGTGCCCCAATTAGGGTCACTGCTCCGAATATAGGCAGGTGCTGTGGTAGACCTCACTGGTTGCCATTTACCATCTCAACAGAGCAGTCCCTGCTTTGGCTGCTTCTGCAGGTGCTCCTACCTTTTTGGCTATAGACGATTCAAGATGTGCTGAATTATTGCATCTAGCAGATATGCTGCCCTTGCTCCCCTCTCTGACTCAGGCTGGTACTAGCCATCTACATGTCTCAGAAGACTGTGATGTTTGGCTTCTTGCATTACCATAACCCCCTCTAGGTAAACTGTGCATCAATATAGAACTTAAATAGTTGGGAAAAGTGCCACCTGGGAGTTTCCCTCCCCACTTCCTGTGAGTTGGAATAGTCTGCGATGCACGCAGCTGACTGCTTGGGCCATGGGCTGGGCTAGGGGAATGACTGGCAGGAGGCTGGCCATCCACCCTGTCAGGGACATGTGGGAGTTCCACGATAGGACACGGGCCACTGTTGCTAAGGTAGTGTGGGAGTCTAGCACATCATCTCCCTCTGCTACAGCTGCTCTGAGCACTCCTAGGCATGTACAGGGTGGCCATCATAGAGGACAGTCTGGTTGTCCTGTTCTTGAAGCAAGAGAAAAATAGAGCACAGAAAGGCGTCGGGTTTCGTATCGATAGAGGACAGAGTAGCAGATAACTGGAATGTCCTTTATGATGGCCACCCTAGGCATGTACAATGTTGATGTTGTTATTACTTTGGTGAGTGTCATCTCAACATTTTAACATTTTATGCTCATTTAACAATTACTGCTGCAGAAATGTTAATGATTATATCAAATGGCAAAAGGAAAATGGTAATTTTCAAAAGATTTTTATTTTAGCAAAACCCAATGAACAGAATTTCATGGGACAAAAAAGGATTTCTTTAGCTCACAAGCTTCCCAGGTGCTTGTGGTAACAAGTGTGTGTGCTGATAATAGAGATGGTCCTCTCTCTGAAGAGCACAGAAACCATATATTAAGATGAGAAAACACAGGTGCCTGCAGTCTGACACACAATGATAGAACAAGGTAACAATGATATTCTGGCAGCAGACACAGCACAGTAGCAACTAATTATTATTAATTTTTGCAGCCATGATGACAGTGTTAAGCTGGAAGGAGGAGAATGTGGTAACTCTGTAGTGCTGTACAGGGAGAGCTTCTGGGAAATTGTCAATAAGATTATTTGAAAAACTGACAAACAGCAATAAACATTTGGTAGTCAAACCAAGGACTGCTTTTCAAAGTCTTACACCTACCACTTAGTAATCTGCAACTGAACACACACACTGCTTTAACACAGGAACAAAATTTATTATCAGGTCTAACTCCCTTGGGTGAGAGACAGGGATGTGGATGGGAAGGAACAGATCCAGCTCCCCTGTGAGAGGGGAGGCTGTGGGGTTAGGTACTAGGCTGGAAGGGACTTTGAAAAAGGGGGTAAACCACCTCTGAATGATAGGCAGGGGGGTGAGAAGGGACAGGATGAACAGAAATGTTGGGAAGAAATGTTTTCTTTTACAGAAGTAGTGAATATGGGATGGGGAACACTCTCTTAGGTGGGAGGCAGAGGAGCAGTAATGGGCAGGGTGGGGCAGATGCTTTAAAAATTTGTGGGTTTTTAAAGCATTCTTATTTTAATATCTTCTTATTTTAATATCTTAGTCTATTTTAGTAAGTTGTGTCTGTTACTGTTTCACAGTGCAGCAGCTGTTGCATTACTGTTCAGCCAAGGAAATGAAAATGGCTCACTGTTCTTCACTCCAGGTGTTAACAATTCTCTCTCTTTTTTAATGGCCTTGATGTTCAACTAATCAAGCCAGGCACTTTAGGGTAATTTTGCTGTCTGCTAGGTGCTCCTGGTCTCTCTCCTCCCATCTCTCAGCTGTGGAGACTCTTAACCTCTTTTCAGAATCACAGGTCCATCTACGAAGACCAGTTTTCAGCAGCAGCTAGAGTTTCAGCTTTAGTTAAACAGGAAAGAGAGGGCGAGTCAACAGAAGATTATATTCTGTCCCTGCTCTGTGCAGTCATAACTCTGGAAAAAAAACCCTTCGTTCTCCCTTCAAAAACATGGCATCCATTATATTCCAGGGTATGTTGCATGTGAGAAAATACGGTATTGTCAACTCAAAAAACCCACCAGTCTTTCCAAATGAAAAAATAAGTTGCTGGATAAATTTATGTTTCCTAGTCTTTTCTACTCTATACAGTTCTTTATAAACTGTTCAGAATTACAGGAAACCCTTGGTATTCACGGTTTCAAAATTCATGAATGCTGAACCCGCATTTTAAATACACTTTAAACACTCATCCTTGGGAGCTCCATGCTTGCTCCTGCTGGGCTCCCGCCGCTGCTGTGCCCTGCCCCTAGCCGCCAGGGGTACTGCATTCATGAACGCAGTGCCCTATTCGCAGATTTCGCCATTCACGGGGATCACGGGAACGTATATCCCATGAATGGCGAGGGTTACCTGTATTCTGTAATGCATACTCAACTAGAAACTCAACTAAGGAGAGAAAGAGAGAATGCCAAAAGGTAGTGTTTTCTAAAAATAGGTTAACCTTGCTAAAAATATATAAATTATAAGCTTCCACCCATGTGCACAATTCACTTTCATAGTTTCATAGTTTGTAGCGTCGGAAGAGACCTGAGTAGATCATCACGTGTGACCCCCTGCCA